TCGTTTTTGAGTTGTAGATTATTCTTTCAGTTGTAATTTATTTTTTGATTTTTTTTCGTTATGGTTTGTATTGAAGTTGTCATGGTATGTTATAATATTAATTAAATTGTATCATTTGTATTATTAATTAAAATATAATATCTTATTTTATTTACTATGCTATAATATTAAAGAAACAAAAATATTTGTTAATCTGTCGGAATTAAACCATTATCTCATACTTCTATTTAATAATTTAATATGAGTATTAAAACTTAATGTTGTTAATCTTTCTTCTAAACACAGTCTAAAGTTCCTATCGGTCATATTATATTGGGGCATTTTTTATAATTTCTCATTTAACTATAGTAGGTATATTATTTTGTTTTTGAACCCATATACAGGTGGGGATGTGGGATTCAAAAGTAGGTGGACTGTATGTGGAATAGGTTTATGTATCGGTTATATTATTACAACTGTGTATCTTGAAACATTTCCTGAGAAATGGATTGACCGAAGAGGTCCAATTGATTGGCCGAAGAGGTCCAATTGATTGGCCGAAAGGTCCAATTGATTGGCCAGCACGTTCACCAGACTTGACCCTAATGGATTTCTTCTTTTGGAGAGTACTCAAACACAAAGTTTATAGTCGAAAACCAAGAAGTGTCGGTGATTTGAAAAATTACATAAGCGATGCGCTTCAAGAAATTAATACCCCAAAAGACGTGTGCAAAATAGTTTGTCAAAGCGTTAGAGGTAGTCTTCAAAGCTGTGTGAATTGTGATGGAAAACAGTTTGATAAAATTTAAGGGATTTTGTATTATTGTTCACAATATAATTTAAGGGCTTTTGTATTATTGCTCACAATAAAATTTAAGGGCTTTTGTATTATTGCTCACAATAAAATTTAAGGGCTTTTGTATTATTGTTCATAATAAAATTCAATTGTCAATGTACTAATTGTGTCAGCAAATATAATTGCATGTACATGTAATCTCAAAATAAAAGTAATTATTTACTGTCCACCTACTTTTGGATCAACCTGTATATTTTGATAAAGTTGTGCTATTTGCTAATTTATCTACTAGATCCCCTCTGTCTCTTTTCAAATATTTTCATGGCCTTTGTTCTGAAAGGTTTTCCTCCTTTGTACCGCGGGAATTTAAGCGTGCTACTAGATTGGCAATTAGGTCCCACCTTTTTAGTGTTTAAATAGAAAGATGCAACCGTCTGTTCTATTCTTATAGTTTGTTTTCTTACATTTCTCTCCTTTGTGGGGACATTTCCGATTTTTCACTCTCCTGCCATCTACTGTCTTCAAAAAATTAAATACCACATCAATAGTCATTTTCCTTCTTCCAGAACCCGTTCTTTTATTGTCCTTTCTCCTCACTTCTCACTAAATTCACCCCCTTTCATTCCTGGTAAGCCGTTGCGTTATAGTGGTTTTAACGCCTTGATTTCTTAAAATTGTTTTACTTTCGTCAAGGAGCTAATGCCATTAAGACGCAGGAGGATACAGGGAGTGAGAAGTGAAAGAAGAACAATAAATGAATAGGGTTTAGCAAGACAGAAGAATGTCATTGCATTTAAATTCTTGAAAAAATCATAAGGGAGCACCACAGGTGATAAGTGCGAGAAAAGAGGTGGTTAGAATAGAACTGTCAGTTGCATCTCGCTAGTCCAACAAGAAAACCTAATTGCTAATAGCACGCTTTAATTCATATAGCTGAGTCACCCGGCAGAAAATTCATCAGAACAGTTGCTATGAAAATATCTATAGAAGAGACAGCGAAGAGTCACGTCGCCTCTGTGAGAAAGTGTCGGAAATGAAAGTGAAAGTGAAAGTGAAAGTAAAATGAAAGTATCTGAAAACGTGATTACTGGTCAGGGTGGATTACATTACAGACCATTCTGTGAAATTTGTCAAGAATCTCAAGATATACAGCAGGAGCACTAGACCTGTTTTGACAACGGTATTCGATGCTCGGAAGAATCACAAATTTATAAATGTGCAAGGATGGATTCTGACGAGTAGAAATTTTCTGACACGAGACAGTTTACAAAATTTTCTAGTAGTAGATGTACCAAATGATATGATATACTAGCTCAAATCAACATCATGTCAGTGGGGAATCGTGAGCCCAAGAAAGTTTAGAGTGCTTGGTGTGAAATGATTTAAAAATAATTTTTTTTTAATTTGTAGGTCTGATGAATTGGATCGTATTTACGATTCCAATGGAATAAATTATGACCATGGAATATTAGTGTTTAAGCCTTTATATATATATATATATATATATATATATATATATATATATATATATATATATATATATATATATATATATATATTAAGGGAAAATATATGACAAAGTTATTTTGTGGTGCATTTCCTCCTTAATTGACTTCATTGGACTAAATTTGTTATGCTGGTGTTAGTACATATTTACCAGAACGAGGGATGCCGGAAATTATTTAAAAAATCTACCCGATTTCATTTCGATCTTTTTTTTTTTTTTTGCTTACCATCAATTTTTTTATTAGATATCCCACACTTAGTCAATCTAAAACAATAAAGGCCCTAGTAAATACTAAACAAAACACTAAGCTAAAACTTGAAGGAGGAAATTACTGGATTGCCTGTAATAGGTGTCACAAAAAATACATCGGAGAAACAACAAGTAATCTAAATAAAAAATTATATAAAGACAAAAGAGACATTTTACAAAACAACGAATCAAATGTGTTTGTTGCCCACCGTCACGAGACTGGCCCTGATTATGTCATAAATAAATGCTGCTCTGATCAAAGGACACAACAATTCACTAAGACAAAAATGTCTAGAAAGTGACTTGATCGCAAATTCATCTACAGTAAAATTGCGCCCGGGGCTGGTACAACATTTCACCATTCCTGGCAGAAATTCTAGTATCGCAGGTTGGGACATCTACTAAAAAAAAAACAATAGTAAGAAAAAGAATTTAAATTAAATTGACTAAAGTAAAAAAATTAAAATCTAAAGTTCCCAGCATCCCTCGTTTGTGCGCATGTGTAGTAGCACCAACATTTAGCGCGATTAAACCCTAAAGGACGAAACGAGTCTCAAGAAACCTTTTTCTTCATATATAGATGCATATACATACATACATATATATATATATATATATATATATATATATATATATATATTCATCATATACCGACAAATTTGTAGGTCTGATGAATTGATCGTGATTACGATTCAATGTATTAAATTAATAACCATGGAATATTAGTGTTTGAGCCTTTTAAGTTATATTCTTACTCTGTCCTGAACATTAAGTTCTACCTGGATTCCATCCTCTTGGGAATTTACACACACACACACACACACACACACACACACACACACACACACACACATATATATATATATATATATATATATATATATATATATATACACATTTATATATGATATATATATTTATATTATATGTATATAAATAAAAAGAAAGAACAAAGATATATAAATCCGGTGTTCTTATAGATATTTTTGATTTTACAAAATAGTGCTCGATGTAAATTTACAGAGCATTAATATTATAATTAAAAAAAAAACATATTTTAAATCAATTAATTTATAATATATTTATATTATATTATATTATATTATATATATATATATATATATATATATATATATATATATATATATATATATATATATATATATATATATATATATATATGACCACTATATTGATATTATCATATATATATATATATATATATATATATATATATATATATATATATATATATATATATAATAGTTTTCATTGACTGTATGACTGGAAGAATACACTTTGCGACAGAAGTAAATGAGATGCCCCCTCGTCGACTGGCACATCAATAGCAAAAGTGTGACGCTTTTTTTTTCCTCAATGAGTCGAACCCTCAGGCTCCGCTACGATTCTCATCGTCTTGTAGTTTTGATGGATCAGCCTTTCAAATCTACGCTCGCTGTCTGGGGTCGAGCAGAACACTGTGAATTCGTATCGATTAATCGGGCAGGGTGGTCGTCATCAAAGGAAATTTTTGCTTGTATTTTTTTCTTTTAGCTGAATGATTTTGGTCTGGCAACAATGTTTCGATAATGTCTTGCCGCTGCCATCGGATATAAGGTAGCTTTGCATAATCTGCTTCGCAAGTGAACTGATAAGAACGTTTCGAAAGAAAACAAATGACAGAAGAATGGTTAGGAATAAGAAATGGAAGTGTGGGGAGAGTGTCTGATAGAAGAGACGTGAGGCGAATAGCTGAAACGTCGCGAAAGAAATGGTAAGCAATGAAAGAAGGTAAAAAAAATCGGAATAACGAAGAATTTCAAAGAACGACAAAATATGAAGATTTGACATAAAGGGACAATGTTCAATGCAGAAGGATTGGTTTGGTTTGGTCTGTTTTGTTTCTGGTAACATTTTTCCTTCAAAAATTTATTTCTGGATAATAATTTTCCATCGCTGGTAATATTTTTTTCAAAAGATGTATTGCTGGTAAAATTTCTTTTTTAAAAATGTATTTCTGGTAATAATATTTTAACAAAGTATTTCTGTTATTAAAACCTATTTTTACACTTTAATAGTATTTTGACCCCAGTTTGAGGTTTAACTATTTGCCCATAGCTGGGACCCTAACAGGTTCAACCACCCGGGTTATGGTGAATCTGGGAACACCAGCAATTAAGACGTTGTTCCACACTCCTCAACTCCTCCTGAGCAGAGGCCTTGCTGTTGGACGTAGTTTGTCGCCTTACCCAGGACGCGGATGCAGTTTATCGTCATACCCAGGATGCGGATGCAGTTTATCGTCTTACCCAGAACGCAGACGTAGTATATGGTCTTACCCAGGACGTCAATGCAGAAGAGAATAAATCAAAAAGTGATAATGAATGAAAAAAACAATCAAGAATATGATGGAAAATAAATAAAGAACGATAAAAGGCGGGAAGAGAAGAGGTAATTCCTTAAAGATAATTAAAAAAGAAACGAAAAGAAAGAAAAGAAAGAAAGAAAGAAATGAAAGAAAAAAGAAAGAAAGAAAGAAAGAAAAGAAAAGAAAAGAAAAAACAAAGAAATAAAGAAAGAAAGAAAAAAGAAAGAAAGAAAGAAAGAAAGAAAGAAAGAAAAATAAATTACCCTTGTAAAAGGGAATCGATCGTAGTCAGGATCATCGAGTCAATGCGAATGATCAGTTCTTTAGCTTGATGCTGTGTACTTCGGCAGGACCACATACTGTTTCGTATTTAGAGTTTTCTTTCTCTTCGACAGGTTGCCAATCAAAGTTATAGAATCCGGCCTGTTTTACTATTTACCCATAGCTGATGGTACTAGAGTTGGATTCATACCTTTCCCGAGGCTATTATTACATATTGAACTCGACTCGGATACGAACCCGTCTCTCGTGTTCTTCAATCCGTGCCGCAGCTCATCACTCTACCGTGCTTCCATTTGTAAAAAAGGAAAGGTTAAATGAAAGGAAATGAAAGCATATAAAGAAGAGAAAAATAATAAGAAAAAAAGAAAGAAAGATATACATTGTACAAAAGAGAGACAATCAGAAGGAAGAGAAGAAAGAAATGATGAAAGATATAAATGAAGAAAGAATGGAAATTAAATTAATTTGACCAAACCAGAGAACACCTACTAAGAAAGAAAGAAAGAAATAAAGAAAGAAAGAAAGAAATAAAGAAAGAAAGAAAGAAAATTAATTACATTTGTAAAAAAATTAAGAAAATTTTTTTTTAAAAATAAAAAAGACATTTCTATTAAATAAGCGAAAAAGAATAAGACAGAAAGAAAAAATATATAACAAAGAAATAAAGAAAAATTTATTGAGAAGGTAAAAAGAAAGAGGGAAAGGACGAAAAAAATAGAGGAAGAAAGAAAGAAAATACAAAGCAATTAATAAGAAAGAAAAAAATAAAGAAAGAAAGAAAATTAATTGTATTTTTAAAACCGAGACAAAACTTTAAAAAAAGGATATGAAAAGAGATTGCTGCAGTGTAACCCGGATATAAGAGAGTTGACGGGACCGGAGAAGAAGTCTCTTATATCCGGGTTTCTCTTATATCCGGGTGTGGGTTATATGTATACATTAACACAGGCTCTAATTTGGGACCAGATAAATTCGCTCTTATATCCGGGTTTCTCTTATATCCGGGTCTCTTATATCCGGGTTGCACTGTATAAACAAGAGAAAATAAGAAATAAAGAAAGGAAGAAAATAAGAAATAAAGAAAGGAAGAAAGAAAGAAAGAAAGAAAGAAAGAAAGAGATTTGTACAAACGAGAGAAAAATTATTGAGAAAGAAATAAGAAAGATAGAGAGACTGAAAAAAATAGAGGATGAAAGAAAGAAAATTAAGCCATTTGGAGAAACCAGAGGAAAAAATATGAAAGATAGAAATTTTATATGAAAATAATTCACTTAAATCTCATTGCAGAACTAACACAGCAGCAAAACGCAAGAAATGAAACAAATCCTCACGAACAGCACAATTATGCCATAAACTGTAAAAAAAAACAAAAAAAAAAAAACGACTACAAATATTGGAAGCATTTAGCGTAAAAAAATCAAAGAAACTTTCCTCAATGAAATTAGAACTGATTTAGGAACAAGAATACTAAATATGTTTCGATAAGAATGGTAATTAACCGAAAAAAAGAACTTGTCACGTGAACACGAAGAGGCGTACGATTATTTTCAATGTTTATGTATTTTCTCTTGTTCTTTGACATGGGTATTAAATGATGATTTGTCAACGATATTCTAACTTTTTTAAGATGCATCTGTATTCCTTTTACACTACTGTTGCTACTTTTAGAGAAATTATATAGACAATTACAAAAAGTGTAAGATTGTCTCTCCCAAAACACTTAATATTGAGAAAATAGATACAAGAATCTAGAATCAATATTGCAACAACTTTTTATTTTTTTTTATTTATTCTATGAACTCGAAGACAGATTCTTGGTGATTACAGATTCAGTTGCACCGATTCTGAAAATTATTGATAACAGAAAACCAAATTAGCGCCGTTCCAGTCGTTCTGTATAAAGTTCAACCAGTTTCTGAAAACGGTTACTTCAAGATGAGGTATATCGGTTTTGATTTCAAGGTATCCTCTCCAGGTAGCTACCACCTATATAGCATTTGGGTATCTCGGCGTGGTGTAATGGTTAGCAAGCTTGTCTTGCTAGATCAGTTACTACTGAAAAGTGAGTTCGATCCTCACTGGGTACCCCATACTTTCGGCCTTCTGAACATCTAAGCTACACTTGGAAGAGGGCACCTCGGCGTGGTGGAATTGTTATCAAGCTTGTCTTGCTAGATCAGTTAATACTGAAATGTTAGTTCGATCCTCACTGGGTACCCCATACTTTCGGCCTTGTGCCACATCTAAGCTACGCTTGGAAGAGAGCACCTCGGCGTGGTGTAATTGTTAGCAAGCTTGTCTTGCTAGATCAGTTACTACTGAAAAGTGAGTTCGATCCTCGCTGGATGCCCCATACTTTCGACATTTTGCCACATCGAAGCTCTGCTTAGAAAATCATACCTGTATAACATTCGACTGGCGAAAACACGACAATCTGATAGAAGCAGAATTAGAAATGAAGAGAAGAATAAGGCTTGTCTTCAATGTCACTGAAAATGATGCTTCGTGATAACGCCCCTGAGGCAAACAATTCGTAGTTTATCGCGCTTTACACACTGGGAAATATCTATGGATAAGTGAAAGAGAACGTGCAATGGAGGTGAGGTGGAGGGGTGCTAGAAGACAGGGCTTGGCTAAATCAACTCCGAACTTTTCGTAGGTGTTTGACCTCCGATCTTCTTCTATGTTCCCTATCTCTTCAATATATAGGCAATAATGGCACTCCACAACTTCCTACCTTGGGTGGCCTTTAGCAGTCTTTTGTCCCTTTGGTAAGGTTAACGCCTCGCCCTCTGTTCTGTCATTCATCCACACATTCTTCAGGGAGGTGACTCACTGATTTCCATTACCTATATTGGTCTTAATATGGTGATTATCTAAGCCTGGCCTAGATGCGGCACAAGGTGGAAAGTATAGGGCCCCCAGTCAGAATTGAACTCCCATCTGTAGAAAGTTCAACCAGTGTCTGAAAATAGTTGCTTTAATATAAGGTATTTCGGGTTTCATTTCAAGGTATCATCTCCAAATAGCTACGCCCTGTATAACATTCGACCGGCGAAAAAACGACAATCGGAAAAATCAAGAGAAGAGTAAGGCTTGTACTCAATGTCGCTGGTACGGATGCTACGTGACAACGCTCCTGTGGCAAACAATTCGTAGTTCATCGTGCTTTACACACTCTGGGAAATACTTAAGTGTCGAAGAAAGCAAACGTTCAATGGATAGTGATAACTAGAGTCGGTAGAAAACATGGGTTGGTGAAACATCAACTACGAACTTTCCGTGGGGGATTTGGCCGTCGATCTTCTTCTATGTGCCGTGTCACTTCAGTATATAGGCAGTCATAAAAAACTGCTGAAGGCTACAAGAGATAGGAAGTTGTGGAGACAACTTCCTATCTCTTGTAGTCTTCAGCAGTTTTTCTCCCTTTGCTAAGGTTAACGCCTCGCCTTCTTTTCTGTCATTCATTCACGCCTTCTTTATGGAGATGACTCGCTGCATTCCCTTACCTATATTGGTCTGAATATGCTGATTTTCTAAGCCTGGCGTAGATGTGGCACAAGACGTAAAGTGTCGGGCACCCAGAGAGAATCGAACTCACTATAGTCATAACTGTTCTAGTGAGATAAGCTTGGTAGCACTTACACCAGGTCGGGATGTATGGTGGTCTGAATACGTCATGTGAGGGTTAAATGTCGTCAGTATTTCTTCCTTTTATGTGCCCAAGGAATTTCAGCTGTCTTTTCCTGATTCTGAGTAAAAGTGTTGTTTCTCTTGCGACTTTCTTTAAGAAAGAAATTTCATGTGAAAATAATTCACTTAAATCTCATTGCAGAACTAACACAGCAGCAAAACGCAAGAAATGAAACAAATCCTCACGAACAGCACAATTATGCCATAAACTATAAAAAAAAAAAAAAAAAAAACGAATACAAATACAGGAAGCATTTAGCGTAAAATAAAATCAAAGAACTTTTCCTCAATGAAATTAGAACTGATTTAGGAACAAGAATACTGAATATGTTTCGATAAGAATGGTAATTAACCGAAAAAAAGAACTTGTCACGTGAACACGAAGAGGCGTACGATTATTTTCAATGTTTATGTATTTTCTCTTGTTCTTTGACATGGGTATTAAATGATGATTTGTCAACGATATTCTAACTTTTTTAAGATGCATCTGTATTCCTTTTACACTACTGTTGCTACTTTTAGAGAAATTATATAGACAATTACAAAAAGTGTAAGATTGTCTCTCCCAAAACACTTAATATTGAGAAAATAGATATAAGAATCTAGAATCAATATTGCAAAATCTTGCTTTTTTTTAATGTTTCTCACACTCTTTGATCATGGAATTATCACTATCCTTCTGTAGAACCAAAATGTTGCTGCCTCCAGTTTTCTCCTCATCAGTGGAGAGAATTCACTGCCATATAAGCAATCCAGTATTCTATTTTTGCTTCTTAACTTTTATCTACGTTTCTCAGCATATTTCATTACTTTTGGAATCCTTTTTTTTTCCCTATCTCAGTGTGTGTTCGTATATCGGTGTCATATTTTCCATCCTCTGTTAAAACACTTCTCGGATATTTATATTTCTGTACCTGCATTATTTTAACATCTTCAGTTTCTAACTCGCATCTTGTTTTTTTCTCTTACGTATGATCAGACTTTGTTTTCTTGCAGGTGATGCTGACTCCATTTTAACCGCTTCCATCTATTACCGTGTTCGGGAGGTGCTGTTGAATTCTGTTCGATTCCGCGATCAACAGTGTCATCTACGTATTTTATATTGTTAGGGTTATCCCTGCCGTTCATTAATCTAGGTACAGTTGATGTTTGTTGTTACTTGGGTGTTATGGAAAAAGTAAGAATTGTCCATTTCCTAATCTGTGACGTCATTTGTTTACATTTGGATACGCAGATATGAATGGACGTGAGAAAATCATGGAAAATTGTAGTTTAAAAAACCCTAAAATCGATCTTGTTGTTAATGCTGTTTATTATAAACAGAGCATTTACTTAAATATTTGTATCTATAAAAAGAATATATAAACATAAAAAAAATTCTTAAAATGATTGTCGAACTTTGTCCATTTCATAATGTGTGACATCATTTGTTTACATTTGGATACGCATCGAGCAGATATGGATGTACGTGAGAAAACCATAGACAGTTGTAGTTCAAAAACCCTAAAATCGACCTGACTAATCGAAACGCTCATCTATTGCGAAATCGGTAAAAGCACGTCTGGGTATATGACGGTTCCGTATAGGATACAGGTTCGACGCATATTTTCTATGACAATTTCTCGAACATTCAGGCCGGTAGATGCTGTTAATGCTGTCTATTATAAACAGAGTATTTACTTTAATATTTGTATATATAAAAAGAATGTATAAACATAAAAATGTCTGAAAATAATTGTCGGACTTTGTCCATTTCAATAATGTGAGACGTCATTTATTTACAATTGGATACGCATATATGAATGTACGTGAGAAAATCATGGAAAATTGTAGTTTAAAAACAGTAAAATCGACCTTGCTAACCGAAACGCGCCTCTGTGGCGAAATCGGTAAAAGCACGTCAGGCTATTTGACAGTTCCGTATAGGACACAGCTTCGATTGCTGTCGGAGGACGCATATTTTCTATGAAAATTTATCGGATATTCAGGCCGTTAAATGTTGTTAATACCGTTTATTATAAACAGAGCAATTACTTGAATATTTGTATCTATAAAAAGAATGTATAAGCTTAAAACTGTCTTAAAACTGCAATACATAATGGTAATATTGCCGCAATGGTATTTCTAATATTACCTACAATATTACCATTGCCATAATGTTAATATTAGCCGATTCCTCATATGGAAATCTTCGGTATTCCTTAACCAAACAGTTGTTGTTATTGCCAGTTCAAATTTATAAAATTATTCTATTAAAACATTATTTCAGGGAAATAGGTTTCTCAAGTCTATCGCAATATTTAATACTAGCAGCATGGCACGGCGTTGCCCGTGCTTGACAGCAATCCCTGTCACTTGACTTAAAATAGTTTTGCCCTTCCTTGCCTTTAAAGAAATGCACTTTTCCGTGCTGATGTTGCGACATGCCTTACTTCTTGCCTATCCCACACGGCGAATTTTTTTCTAAGCTCTATACTAAA